GGTAGTCGTGGTAGTAGTAGCAGTAGTAGTAGTAGTAGTAGTAGTAGTAGTAGTAGTATTAGTAGTAGTAGTGGTAGTGGTAGTGGTAGTGGTAGTGGTAGTGGTAGTGGTAGTGGTAGTAGTAGTGGTAGTCGTAGTAGTAGTAGTAGTAGTAGTAGTAGTAGTAGTAGTCGTGGTGGTGGTGGTGGTGGTGGTGGTAGCAGTAGCAGTACCAGTAGCAGTTGCAGTAGCAGTAGCAGTAGTCGTAGTGGAAGTGGAAGTATCAGCAGCGGTACAAGGGACCCAAGACAGATCAGGATCAGCAGGTACTCGCAGAAAGCTGACCGCTTCGACCAGTCAGCGTTGCGGAGGCATGCTGCCCCGGTGGCATCCTGGATCGCCTACGGCCCAAATGGCCGGCTTCCAACAGTGAAGGAGTTCCAGCTCTTGAAGAAGTTCATGGACAAAATTGACGGTGTGATGTTGCCTTCTCGACTCAGTGATGTGCTATCGGACGTGGAAGCAGTACTCCGGGTTTTCCGAAGGCCGGCGAGTGATGCATGGGTTAAGGCAAAACATCAGCTTGAAAAGAGTCTTCGAAAGTTGCGCCACCGGTGCAAAGAAGCAGGGACAGCGGCAGTGGTGGTCGCTCCAGATGATGATATTAATGAAGCAGAACTGAAAGCCGGGCCGGACCAAGCCGTACAAGTCGGGGAAGCGGACGATTCGGCATCTGAATGTACATCTGCCTTTCCTAACCAGCACTTGACATTGTTCAGAAAGATGAATGAGTGGAATTTTCTGGATGATGCTCAGAAGTTGGAGCGTTTGCAACAGGCCGAGGTGGCAACGAGGCGCCCAAGGAGAAGCTTGAGCCAATCAGAGCTTGTGGATATAATCAACATGCCTGCAGCTTGCCTTGCAGCTCCTCAAAGAAAGGCGATGCCGATGCCGCACGATGCGGATGTGGAGTGCTCTAGTGAAGCTACACTCGCTATGGAATCGTGTGGTCCGAATCTTGATCTACAGCCACGTGTGAGGTCATTGTTGCTGCATGCCCTCCATGTATGGCGAATTAACCTGTTTGATTGTCATGCCATCGAGCATGTGCTGGATGTCGTGCAAGGGCAAATCAACAAATTTGAGGAACGGGCCGGCGAGATTCGAGGCGCAGCAGCCGGGAAGGCTTGGCTGAAAATCAAGCAGGCAGTCGACGAGCTGATGCTTCGTGCAGGTGCGCCCTCGAGCTCAACGCTGCCTGGAGAAGACTTTGCAGCTGAAGCCCAAGTTCAGGCTGCCCAGCCTCTCAAACCTCACAGAGTGAAGCCAAGACTAGAGCGCCAGAGCGGCATCCAAAACATCAACTGGAGTGTGGGGAGACGGTGCTGGGCTTGCCAGTATTTCAGTAACAAGAAGGGCATGAAATGCAAGAACACAATTCACTACTTCCCAATTGCCAAGTTCCTGGAGCAGGGTCTTGGTGATGAGGCGGCTGTCGATGCTGCACTGCAAGAAGCAAAGGCCTACCGTGAAGAGCTCGTTCGCCAGGGCAAGCTGAAGCCTCCGAAGCCGAAAGTATACCCCGACTCAATGGTGAGGGGCGTTTACTTCAGCCAGGGCCAGCAGAAGTGGAAGGTGCAGTTATATCACCCCGTCCGGAGGAAGGTAGTGCACGGTGGCTATTTCTGTTCGCAGGAGAAGGCCGAAGCCAGGGCCCGGGAGCTGGCTTCGGAGTTCGGGGTCCAACCTGACATCAAGGTGCTGCCGGGATGATGCGAGATGCGAGATGTTAGGCGACGCCTGGGCCTTAAAAAGGGGGCGGGACATCGGATGTCAGGTGACATGGAAGGGTTTACGTTTCGAGTTTAGCTGGGGTTTCCGACCACGACCCACAGCCATAAAACGTATGAAGCCTCAAGTGGTGATAAAAAGCAGTTGATTCCTGTTTGGGGAGGCAAAACCCTTTTCGACCCGCATACAACCCAAACCCTAGCCCCTAAACGGAGCGCTTAGATCTCTTCCGCTGCCCCGCAGGCCATTGGTCACACCCTGAGACGTCCATACTATAGGGACCTCAGTAATTACGTTTGTGGGGTTCCTTATAATTACTATTATTATTGCATAATGGGCCCCAAAACCCTATTATTCTAATTATTAAGGCCCCTATATTATATAATGGAGACAGGCCTGCAAGAACTTGAGTCGGCTGCTGGAGATTGACCCGAGCATCCAGGACGGCTTGTGCATTTCCCTATGATTAAAGCCTGCCTACTTCACCCATCAGGGAATTGAGTGGTGTGCTTTCTGTTTCGAAATTACTGTTCGGCTTTCGAGTTTGGGGGACTTGGCAAGATCAAGGTACTGGTAGCTGCACTCACCCTGCGTTATTGAACCTATATGGGAGTTTCAGAAAATAGGGGACCCTAATATAGTACCCTAAATAATAGGATCCCTATTATAAGGACCCCCAAATATAAGGTACCCCTAGTTTTCTGAAACTCCCATATACGTGAACCTACCCTAGCCTCAAGCAAGCCTACAAACCCTGGACTCTGGACCCTGCACCACAAGCTTTTCGTCATTTGGGAGTTTCCGAAAATTGGGGCTACCTTATTTGGGGGTGCCTATAATCAGGATCCTATTATTTAGGGGTACTATATTAGGGTCCCCTATTTTCGGAAACCCCCATTTTGATTTTGGAAATTGTTTGTAATTCTTTAGTCTGGGTGATGTCCGGGGCTTAGTCAAGGGGATTTGCTTGCAGCAAATCCTGTAGGGTCGGGCATGTAGGGTTTCCGTTTCCTAAAACCCTGAGGCCGTTTAGGCTTGAGGGTTTGCGGTCATCCGCAGGCGGAACTAGAAAGAAGGGATTCCTCAGATCAAAGGCTTCACGCGGGGCCGGGGGGGCGGGGAGGCTGCCCACACCTACACCCATGTCCTGAGCTCTTCAATCCCTAAACCAGCGGCCGTTCCTGGCTTTGTGGTACAGTTTGATGTTCAATCTAGGATCTAAGCTCGAAGCCCTACGCCCTTAACCCCAAACTCTTAGCGTTAAGCCCGAAACCCTACAACGAACGGCGATCGCATTTGAGGCCGAAATGATGGATACATGGTACAGGGGTGCAAAGTACCTCTAGTCTCCATCCTAGTTCTTTTCTGGTTTAACCACATCTTGGATCCGGCAAGGTTTCCCAAACAAGAACCACACTGGTTACTATAGGTTGTGCTTTATGCGAGGAGCAATAGATCTAGTAAGCAGGTGAGGTCCGCACAGTTGATTTATGGTCTGTGCATACCCCAAACCCCTAAACCCTCATCATCATTGCTAAACCCTGAACCCTAAACCCTAAACCCTAAAATCTAGAATCCCTCAACCCTAAACCCCAAAATCGAGATTTCCTCAACTCTCATCCTGCACCTTATCTACCCTAAACCCCCCCCGAGGCACCCATAATTTCATGATCTTTAGGGTTCAGGGTGTAGGGTATTTAGGGTTTAGGGCTTTCCGTGCAGGAAGCTCGGCGTCTCCTGCAGAAAGCCGCCTTGGGCTAAGAGCACCCAGCTTTGACTTGCTTCTTGTGTTTACGATCTTCGGTGTAGGGCGTTTTTTTGGCGGTTTAGGGTTTAGGGTTTGGAGCTCTAAACCCTAAACCCCAATATCATGCAACTCTTGTTGACCCCTTTTGGAACCCTTGTAGAACTCTTATAGACTTATAGACTCATCTAGGGATCCTTTACTTTCAGGTGTCGTCAGAGCGATCGAACCGAGTGCAAGAAGTGCTAGCTTCTGTTTCGGGTTTAGGGTTTCTCTGGCCGTTCGGGTTTGTTTTCAGAAGCAGAAAACTGGTCGAAGGTGTGAGAATACCGACCTTCCAGGGCTACGGTTTTAGGGTTTAGGGTTTAGGGTTTGTGAAGGCTTGTCACTGACACTTACACAGTTCCTCGGGAAGCCTTATTAAACCCCTCTGAAATCCTCCGTACAACAAACCCTTGAAGTAACGTCTGAGACTTGTCCGAAGGTGCAGCTCCGCAACAACGCCGACAAAAAGCAGTCGGATGCCCCAGCTTGGCCCCTAAACCCTAAACCCTAAACCGTGAGGGTTTAGGGGTTAGGAAGCCCTCCTCTCTAGACACTCAGCCTAAATCCGAAATCCTCAGCGCTGAAGCCCTAAACTCCAAACCCAAAGACCAAACCGCAACCCGAGATCTCAGAAGCTTGAACTCCTTATAGTAAACTAGTAAACCCCAAAAAGTTGGAAACCGGATTAAGGACAAATAGTGCTGGGATTCCCTATCCGTTACTCTTAAGGATTGAGGCTATTGGGTATCTAACTTTTGGACTTCTACTGTAACACCAAACCCGTCTAGAGCTTATAAGGTTTCAAGTTTGAGCCCCTGACCACCCCAGCCTACACCCTTTCCCAAAGGCTCCATGTACCTATCGACTTAGTGGGAACATGGAAGCGTAGGGTTGCAAACTCGAACCTCCACCTGCGTCCTAAGTCCTTAGCCCTAAACCCTAAACCCGAACCCCTAAACCCCTAAAACCCTAAACCATAAGTCCTACTTCCTAAACCCTAGGCCCTAAACCCTCAGCCCTAAACCCTGAGGAAAGGCGAAGTCAAGTTCGACCGAATGATCGGGTGTGGCAGCGACCTGCGCAGCGTCTGCTGCCCAGTGACGGCAGGGTCCAGGGTTTAGGGTTGAGGGTCAGGATTCAGGCTTTCGGGAGGGCTTAGGGCTTAGGATTAAACCCTAAACCTCAAGCCTTAAACCGTAAAACCTCAAACCCTAGGCCCTAAACCCTAAGCCCTGATAGAGGGTTCAGGGTAGGGCCTGGGGGGTTGGCTTGCCTGACTCTGCTGAGGATTTTTTTTTGGAGTTGTTTGGGGTTCTAGGTTTTGGGGTTTTTGGGTTGGATCCAAACAAGTTGTCTGCTTCCGTTCTATAACTTTTGAGGAAGTTGATTTGACTTGCTGGGGTTATGCAGCCCTAGGCCCTAAACCGTTTTGTGCGGTAATTGCTGCTGATTCGAGAGACATCCCCTAGCAGCACAACAACCCAAACCCTAAATCCTCAACCCTAAGCCCTTTACCCTAAACCCCCAAACCCCTAAACTATCATGGACTGAAGCAGCGGCTCAATGTTTCGCAAAAACCGAAAAGCTGCCTTCAGGAGCCGCACGTGAGCAGCTGAGCGAGACAGTGCCAGCGCCATGCCATGCACGAGTCATGTGAGGCTCCAAAACCCCAAGCCCTAAACCCTAAACCCCAACCCTTCAACCCTAAACTGAGTTTAGCGTTAAGGTTTTGTAAGGCCTCCAAACCCATCAACCCAAAGCCTGGAAACTAAACCCTTGAACCAAAGATTTCGGAATTGGTTGAATTTGGTTGGGACTTGCTGTCCAGATGAAAGATGTCCCCTCTCTTTGGTAAAACCTAAGGTGTTCGGGTTCAGGGCTAAGGCTGTTTCATTCAGGATATCGTAGTAAGTACGAAGGTTGTTGCCTTGATGAACGCAGGCACATATATGGCCCAATTTCTGACTACCCATATCATATATACCCCCCCCAAGTAAGCCGCAAGAGTCCATATGTCTAGCGGCCTTAAGCTGATCTCAATGCTAAGCTAAGCTTCAGCTAGCACTTGCCCAATGTCCAGATCCGAGTATCCACTTGTTGAAGCTTGCATCCGAAAGCCTTAGCACGAACAACGCCTAGCCCCGCCCCCTCCACCAAATTCTTAAACCCTAAACCCTAAATAAACCCTAAACCCTAAAGACTAAACTCCGAGACACGCTCAAGCCCTATATGCCTGAACGAACGATCCATGGCATCCACAGCCCCCCGAAGCATGGCGCATCGAAGCCTGGTGTGCGTCCGGCCGGGCCGAGTTGCTTTTTGCAGCATTTCTGACAGCTCCCGGAACCCGGGTTTAGGGTTTAGGGTTTAGGGGAAACTACCCTCAAACCCCAAACCCTTCACACCCTAACACCCCCAAGCCCGGAACTCTAAACCCCTAAACCCCAAGCCCTAAACGAAGGCATTGCAGTATTCCTTAACCACGGTGTGTTGGGCCCTTTTGGTTCGGGCCTCGGGTTGAGAGATTAGGGTCACAGTTTAGGGTTTAGGGTTTAGGGTTTCACAGGGGGCTCCGGGGTCGTAGGGTTTCGGGTTCTAAGGGCTATGAGATTCAAGGTTTAGGGTTCAGGGGTTTCGAGTTAAGGGCTTTAATGTGTAGGTTTAAAGTTTGAGGGGTTTCGGGTTAAGGGTTTCATAATCTAAAGTTTGGGAGCTTAGGGTTTAGGGGTTTTAAGCCTAAACCCTAAACCCTAAACCCTAAACCCAAAACCCAAAACCCTAAACCCTAAACCCTTACACCGTTGCAGGGTCCCGGGCCTCGGGGTTCCCGGTGCAGGGTGGACATGTCTGGCGCGGGAGCAAGTGCCGCAAGCATGGGAATTGCTCTTCTCTTCGGGAGTGCTGCCGCCGCGACTCTGTCCTCTTTGGGGCAGGGAACATTCCTTATGATTCACACTTAGGAAGTGTTACAGTATGTTTAACGGAATTTCGAGGGTTCTTGATATTCCGTGACTGTGTCGCTTCGCTTCTAGGGTGGCAAGACTTCGCCGTGACCTGCTACCATCGCATCGAACTTACTCGAGTCTCAACCTGACACCCCGCAGTCTAGCACAATCTGTCAATGTGCTCTACGAGCTTTATGACTCCATCGTGAAGCGCTTGAGGCTGAACTGGCTAAACCTCAACTCTAGAC